TTTTGGTGTGTTTTTGTTGAGGAGTGTTTATATTTGGAGCTTGAAGAAATGGTCATGTGGTGATCCTATTATCTTGTAAATCTCACTCTCAAAATCAAAATTTGCTAAATATATACCAAGTCTATAATGCACGTACATTTTGTATGGTTACACACGTCTTTACGACGGTCGAATCTAATGCGTGTTGGCTTGCAGGTGGCGATTTAATTTAAACTTATTTGAGACTATATACAGTATATATATATACCTCGTGAGAATAAAATTCGTCTAATAGGAGCCCAAGGTTATAGTAGTAAAACATATTGGGCTACATTATCAGTTTCATTGGCCGAAATGAAAGCCCCATATAGTGAGGTTTGCATTTTCCCAATAGTGTGACTGAATATATTAAATATCAATAGATGCAGTACACATGGAAATTTTCCCATCAAAAACATGTATTAACAGGGTTTGAATCCGGATGTCGCTACCTTAAACTATTACTAAAGGCTTTGATTTAGTTGACACATGAATTTTTCTTTTTAATGGATTTAGTACAACCTTATACATCTAATTTTCTACTTAGATACTATAGATTTCAACAATCGGAAAACTGTTGAAGGCATTAATTCTAAACTAAATTCAAGTTTAACATTACTGAATTTTCATTTTTAATGGATTGAATAAACCTTATACATCTCATTTGCTACTTAGATACTTTAGTTTGCAACAATTACCCCATCGAAAAACTACTGAAGGCATTATAGATCTAAACTAAATTCGGGTTTTTACTTTATGTATAGCCACATTATATGATGCAAAACAAAACAATTTGAAAATAAATCAACAAATTTTGTCTTATAGAATTGTAACGCCTCCATTGCTTTTCAGTGGCCAGCCTTACATATCGATATCTATCCGTTAAAGGGCTTTACTTTTGTTTGTTGGTCGGTTTTTAAAAATTTGGAAAATTTGTTGACTGCATCGAACTCAGTTTATTTAGAAAGATTTCCGAAAATGCATATACGTTTGTTTTAGTAACATAAAAAAAAAGTGTTAATGACAGGCAATAGGTGAATTTGGATAAAACATGTGACGAAAGAAGAAGGAAGAGAATTTGGATAATACATCAACTGCAATAATACAAACCACAAGATTGTATATCATAGTTGATTAGTTTCTTACATGACCTTGTTATTTTTCCATAATCCATGATGTTACACAAACATTCCATTATGGAAGAAACAAAATGTAATAAAATTAATGAACAATTAATTCAAATAGCATTCTTACAGTTATTTATCTCAAAACTTTTACAGCTGCCAGACAACAGAAACTTGCAGCGAAGTCCCTATCAAAGATGAGGTCACACAACCACTGAAACACAGTGGGAAAAGCAATTACTCATCTCATCTACGATCATGATTTTTCTTGTTCTGGTATAAAATGAATTTTTTTAATAGTACACATAATATTATGTTATGTGTTAATTCTCTTCAATACTACTGACAAAAATTTGTTTCTTTTAGTATTTACAAAGAAAAAAAAAAGAATGTATACTAAGATTTTAAAGAGAATAAATATGTACTAAGAATGTGTAAAAAGAATTTGTTGTTCTTATTGATAAAACCAATTCATGGTCATCCAATTGTCGAAAACATATTCATTTAGGAATCCGGATTCGAATTTTTCCATTAAGACTTTGGTCGTGATCTTTTTTGGTCAAAAAATGTCATGATTAGGATTTTAACCGTGACCACTATAAAATCTTAAGTGACAAAAATATCAAAATTTTCATAAATCTTGAAAATTAGTTTAACCATCGATCCAAAATCCTCCAATTGATTATGTAATATAGAGATAGAGCTTTAAAAAAAACTTTTATCTAGACAATTAGATTATGATTAATAGTTTCTTTGTATAAATATTTTAGAGCCGCCGCTCTTGTAAATTATTCAAAAATAATACTAGAACTTCTTAATAGTTTAAAAGAGAGATGGCTCTAAAATATTTAGACAAAGAAGATAATTAATCCTAATTTAATTATGTACATAAAAAAATTTATACATAAGCTCATATCTCTATATTCCTAATACAATTATGTATAAAGATGTATAATTGTAGTTGCCTTGTTGAGTTGTTTCTGAGTTTTTGTTATGCCGGAATTTCAAGTGTTTGGTCGTGACCAACGGTCCAACACATCTACAAAGTTATAGTTAATATATCGTCCTCGCAAAATTCTGAAAACCCCCAGGACAACTTTCATTAGGTTCCGTCGTCGTTATAGAACGAAAAGATTCAAAATCATATCATCAACATTTGTGCATGTGCATGCATGTGTTTATTCCTATGACTATTGTAAAGTTGCAGATATTAATCAAGTGAGCTACTTTTCTATATGGACCAATTTAGTTGCCAAATTTGATGTGAATGAGGCAAAAAGAAAAAATTATTTGGCTTTAAAAAGAAATTTATAAATATTAACAGTGAAAAGTAGACGAAAGCCCTTTCCAGAAGGATTTATACGCAGTAAACGGTATTTCCAGTGTCTACAAATTTATACAATTTCTAAAATGTTTCAATGTTATATAGTTTTATTAAGCACGAGAAAAAATCTAATAGCCCAATACAGTAATAAGTTAACGTCAAGATCATGTTATAAATGGTTTCAACTATTGTTTTGTACGTTTAGACATTTAAAAAGTCAACTGTGAAATGTAGGATTCTGTTTTTAAAGAATTGTATATTACCTTTATAATCAAATTTTGTTTTTGTTAAATATTAATAAGCATATATATAAATCTATAAACTCTATAAAAACATCTTCAGTCTGAATTTCTCTAAATAACAGGGTTAATTTATATACCTTTTAACAAAAACGAAATTGATGATATGGATATATGAGTGGTAAAATTTGTTATTTAGATCGTCTTTTTTTTTTTGTTCAAGTTATTTAGATCGTCTAATAGAACAAAGTTTCGATCCAAAACTTTTCGTTCTAACGATTTTTAAAAATTCCTTGATAATCAATTTACAGCTTAATCCATCTCTTAAATGTTATACTTTACATTAAACAAACGATAGATGATAGATAAGATTCAATCGAAAGTTGAAAGCATAAATAAAAAATAGATTCGATCTTCGGGTCTAAAAGGTGGTGGCCAACTATTTGGTCACGAAGAGATTCTACTGTGGTGGGGCCAATTAGAACTCATGATGGTATCGATCTTAACATGTGGCGGACCAATAACTAATTACAGATGCCAGATTATGACCGTTGATCTTCATTGGTGCTTTCAAATGAACGGCCAAAAATTAACACAGCTATTTTAAGGAGACAATTATACTTAAGATAGTCCGACTTTAGGATTACACATGTCCTTCAAGGCATGCCCGCATGGGGTCGTCTAACATGATTCCGAACCCAAAAGCAAATTATTTCGAACTCTGAGATCTGAAAGAAAAATATAATTTTAAAGTTGAAGTGTAAGAGTAAGAGCTAGCCTTTTATGACTAATAAAAATAGCTTGATGAGAAAAAGAAAAATAGCTTGCCAACATGATTAATATATGTAGTTTTAGTTTCTAAAAAACAACATTGCCAAATGATGGTGGCTTCGTCACACGATTGGCCAGCATTTGCAATCCAGTTTAAAAATTTCAAGCGGTGCAAGGTGGTCTTCATCCACATTTCATTATCGCGCATACTTTTAAAGCAACAACGACAACAACGATAACACTGACAATTTAACACGAACCATTCGTGTTTATCTGTATAATATTTCTTATGTAAATATTTCTTCGTTTGGATTTCTATATCGTTTTAGAGAATTTATGTTGACAAAAAAAAGGAGTTCGAATCACTTAATTGTAAATAAACTAATTTACATGCTTCGATCTTTGGTCGTGTGAGATTATAGTACAAAAGTCTATAATTTTTGCTAATAATAAAAAGAATAGTTGTTATAAAGTGACCAAATTAATATATTTTAATAATATTATTGTGTAATTGAAACTAACAAATAAATATTGTGGAATGTAAGAAGGTCCGATAAAATACACAAAGGATAATATCATTTTTTTTTAATATATAAACCGTGAGTTTACAGATTTTGTGAAGTCGGAGGATATAAGTTACAGCCTTAACTTTTTTTCTAAAGCCTTAAACATTACCAATCATACTTTAAACAGATTTTTAAAACTACAACTTAAAAAAAAAAAATTGCAACTTAAAAAACAGATTTTTGTTGTTTTGCTTTCTTTTATTTTCTTCTTTCGATTTCTATATATATTATTATATTAGGGAAAATTCCATAAAAATATTCCAACTAAATTTTGATAATCTTTTTAATACCCTAACTTTTTGAATGCCTAAATAAACACCTCTAAGTAAGCCCTTTTACAAAAAAAAAAAAATAAACACCCCAACTATTTTCTTTGCCCAATTTGATAACCAACTCTTGTCCCTCTATTCAATTTATGAACCAGTGTTAACGGAACAGTAACTTCCATCAATTTTTTTATTTT